ATACAATGTTCACAAGATATATTTGTCAAACCAAATCTTTGATTAAATTGATTTCGATAGACGTAACGACTAACCGTCAGAATAAATTTCTAATCTCTGGTAGTATTTCTTGCACGTGTATCTAATAGATATCCATCGTATGAATAAACATAATTAGCAATGTCATTTAAAACATGAATCATTTCAAGATACATGTCCCGTAGGTAGGTCACTCATATACACGTGCTAGTGAAATTAAAATATAAGTAATCAGGCTTAATTCTCTCATCTTATTGTAGTGAATAACAACACGAGTGGGGACAACCGAATGTATTTGAACTCGAAATTACAGAATATCTCACTAAAATATGAGGATCATACAGTAAATACTTGATTTGCAAAACATCAATCCATTGTCTCAAACTTGACCGTTCCTTTTACAAATATCAGCACATCGTCTCAGATTTCATTGTTCCTGCATTTTCATACCGATTGCTTTCCGTTCCCGTTATTTTCTTCTCGATCTTCTACTGATATACATTCTATTCCTGACTATCGTTATTCGTAGGTTGCTAGTATTCGATCATAGGTGTCCTCGAAGCATTGCTAGTATAGCCTGGGACCGATGAGTAAGTAATACAGTTGTTAGGACACATGTACTAGGTAAGGATGGCAAATCAATTGATGAAGTAGTGAAACTTAATCAGTTGAGATGGTTGGGACACGTGTTACATATGTCCAACCACCGACTGCTCCGACGTGCGGTGTTTCATGGTGTAAGAGTAGATTGGAAGAAAGTTATGAGTGGCTAGACTAAAACATGGCACGAATCCATGAAATCACTGACAAGTGAACTGAACTATGTTGTTAGGTGGAAACTACTGTGGTTGGTATCCGTGAGATGATAGTAACCGGTGGTTAGAGACCTTGAATGAAATGGCTTAGAATCATTTGCAACGACGCAGGTGCATCCACTCTTTGTGTTCTCCCAAATCCTAATATGCTGAATTCTTCATTTACCCTTTTTTTCTCTTTCTATATTTGTTTCACTGGATTATATTCTCTAAATAACATCTTCAAACCCTAATGTTTCCGATTACTGCTTATACTTTTACTACCTCTACCACCATGGGATTTGAATCGACAACTGCATCTGTGTGCTAATGTAGTATGGCAACTTGAATTGATGTACGTACATACGAAGTTCTATGTTGTTACTCACTAACTATTGTTATATACTACTTATGTGGCTCAGTCAGTCAGTAACAACGTGGAACTTCGTACGTACGTACATCAGTTCGAGTTACCGTACCACATTAGCACAGAGATCCAGTTATCGATTCAAATCCAGTAGTGGTAGAGGTAGTGATAGGGAACATTAGGGTTTGATACTATTTAAGGAGTATAGTTCAGTGGAACAGATTTGAAAAGAAGATAAAGGACATGAAGAATTCAGAAGATTAGAATTTGAGAGAACACAGAGAGTGGATGCACCTGCGCCATTGCAAACGATTTTGAGCCATGTTATTCAAGGTCTCTAACCATCGGTTGCTATTATCTCGCGGTCCCTAACCAGGTAGTCTACACCTACCAACATGGCTCAGTCCACTTGTCAGTGACTTCATGGATTCGTGCCATGTTTTGGTCTGGCCGCCCCTACCTTTCTTCCAACCTACTCCTACACCAGGAAACACCACACATCGGGGCAGTCGGTGGTTGGTCATACGTAACATGTATCCCAACCATCTCAACTGATTAAGTTTCACTACTTCATCAATTGATTTGCCATCCTTACCTAGTACATGTGTCCTAACAACTGTATTACTTACTCAGTGGTCCCAGGATATATGAGCAATGCTTAAAAGACACCTATGATCGAATACTAGTAACCTACGAATATCCTCTAGTCTTACGGGCCATGTTTCACTGCCATAAAGTAGGACGGAAGGAACTGCTGCGCAGTAAACACGTCCTTTGGTTGATAGACGGATATCTCGCCTACGCCACAAATGACGCCAGTTGACAAAAGCTAGTCGAGCCTTTTGTATCCGTGCTGAGATTTCGTCACACACCAAACCACAAGGGCTGATGAGACTTCCGTGATAAGTGAAGCGGTCGACACGTTCAACTACTTCACTCCCTATCACTAGTTCGGGTGTCGACGCAACCCAATTCTGAAGCAACATTTTGCATTTCGAGGGAAGAAATCGCATCCCGAACATGCCTGCATTGTTGCTTAGAGTGGTCAGCAGACTCTGCATTTTGTCAGCGTCTTCACTAAATAGAACGATGTCATCGGCATATTCTAAGTCAACAAGTGTGTCTCCCGGTAGAAGTTCAACTCCTGGAAATTTAGATGAGGAAAGTGTCATCTCTAAAAGGACGTCAACAACAAAGTTAAACAAGAATGGAGAGAGTGGACAGCCCTGACGAACACCATTTGAGGTAATCAATTCTGATGACAGTTCGCCATTAGCTCTCACTCGACCATTTGTGTTCGAGTAGAGAGCCTTTATAAGGTTAATGTACTTCTTTGGTACTCCTTTCAGTGACAAACACTGCCATAGAACCTCACGATTGACAGAGTCAAATGCCACCTTAAGGTCGAAAAATACTACCATTGTGGGGCGTCTGAATGTGTGTCTATGTTCTAGGACCTGACGTAGTGTGAATATTTGATCAATACAACCATTTCCAGGTCGAAAACCAGCCTGGTTTTCTCTAGTCTGCTCTTCACGAGCTTTGGTTAGACGTCGAAGTATTATTGAAGCTAATATTTTAGACACTATATTAGTCAAACTAATTCCTCTGTGATTGTCACAGGAGGACTTTTGTCCTTTCTTATAGACTGGTACAATCAGTGATTGAGACCAGTCAGATGGGATTACGTCCAGTTCCCAGATTATACCTAAGACCTCAGTCAATTTCGCTGCTAATACTGGACCACCATTCTTAAAAATCTCAGGGGTAAACCTGTCAGGGTTTGCTGCTCTCCCACGCTTCAGATTTCCTATAGCTTTTTCAACTTCGTAAAGAGTCGGAGGACTTACATCAACTTGCCATTCAGGTCGACTGGAGATCGTGGGAATCCGAAGTGTGGCTGAAAGCCAGTTGAACTGATCCCTAAAGTGTTCTGCTCATCGATCCAATCTCCTGGATTGAGAATGAATAATATGTCCATCTTTCTCTGAGATTATTTCGCTAACAGTTGGGTTCCTTATACCGGTTTCCTTAACAAGTCTGAACAGTTGCCTACTGTTACCTATTGCCTCTGCCTTTTCCGTCTCTCTTGCTTTCGTTACCCACCACTGTTCACGATCATTGCGTAGGCTTCTAGTCAGTTTACGCCTAAGCTGACTCCGCTCTTCGTTATGTTCAGAGCCAGATGGAATGAGTTTCCGAGCATCTATCAGTGCGGTAGACGCTGCTGAGATCCAGTGTTTCTCCCTAACCCTATGGTTCACCTTACTTGCAGACATCACTGCTGTTTCTACAGCTCCTCGGATGTCATTCCACGCTGCCTCGGGGTGGGCATCAGTTACATGGCTGCCTAACGTATGCCTGAACACCGATTACCACGACGCGCAATGGTAACCGGTGTTAGGGATGAGTGGAAGAAAGTTAGAGGCGGCCAAACCAAAACGTGGCATCAGTGCTTGAAGTCACTAACTTCTGTTCTGAGCCATGTTGGGAGATTCAGACTGCCTGGTTGGGGTCCGCGTGACTATCGTAACCAATGGTTGGAGACTCTTGGTGACATGGCTCAGAATCGATCACAATGGCGTCGGTGTATACACTCTCTGTCTTCCTTTAAACTAAGAGATTAAAATCACTTCAAATCTTTCTTTCTACGAACTAATTCTATCTTCCTGTACTATCTCCTTTTACACACTCTTTCTTCTATATATTACCACCACTGAATTAACTACTCCTATGAATCCGGTGTTCATCTTGTTGTGCTAATGCGGTATGGCAACTTGGACCGATGCATATACGTGCCTGGTCCTACGTTGCAGCTGACTGACTAAACTGTTTCTCTAGTTGTTCCTGAAATATACTCTTAGCTTGACTATCATTAAGTAGGACCCTAAGGGGTTTCCTTGCAGCATGTTTCCTACGTCCAGCAAGACGTAGACAAATACGCGCTCGCACTCGAGCATGATCTGAGTCTAAGCATGTGCTCCAAAATGAGCGACAGTCTTCTATCGAGCCCCTCCATCGGTGGCTGATAGCGATGTGATCTATTTGGGTCCAGCGTTGGGACGAATTAGGGGGTCTCCATGTTAAAAGATGTTTTTCCTTATGCTTAAAGTTAGTGTTTGCAAGAAACAGGCGGTTATCTGAGCATAGCTGCAACAGACGGTCGCCGTTATCTGTTCTTTGAACCGCGACACCATAAGATCCACCCAGGTGTCTTTCCTTTTCGCTTAGTTTACCTACTTGAGCATTAAAGTCATCAGCCACTATTACTACATCTGAACGCCTAGCTTTTCGGAGAAAACTCCTACGTGTAGTTCGGAGCGTGGTTTCAGGAGACCAGGAATGACATTCCGCGTACTCGGATCGTTTGCACTAGCGGGGCGAGGTGATAAAGGGACGTAAGAAGGGTTAGTCGTGGAGATAAGAGAGTTATTAGGAGGTGTAGGAAGGATTTGAATGTGACCAACTTGGTCTCGTGTGCTGTTACGGGTATGAGGGCTGATGTCACTTCCCGGCTGCCCACACCGTGGAAGGGTATTTCTTGAGGAACCTGAAAAGGAAATCGGGTTAGTGTTGGTCTTAGCGACCTGCCTGGCATGGTAGAACCTGCAGGAACATGTGTTCCAGCCAATATAGCTCGGTTGGGTCATCATGATAGGCAAGCCCGACCACCACGTCAAGGTAGCAGCTACGGTCGGCTATAAGTGGCTCACGCCACAATATCAGTAAAATTGTAAAAAAGTTCCATCTACTATAGTATTTTCTTTTATCTTTTTTATTACCCCCCTTCTTTTTTTCTTTATTTTATCAAATCAATATAGGACAAGAATTATTACATCAAACAATTCATGAAATGGATAAAATTTATCATACTCATAATAAACTATTGCATTCTAAAGAAGTCAAAGAAAAATTAAGTGAAGATGATCTATTCATAGCTCGTGAATATCTACGTACAATAATTAAAGAACAACATAAATTAGCTGAATCAATGTGGAATCCGAAAAAATTAGAATTAGAAGGTGAAAAATGATTAAATTTATAAAGTAATTTGTAAAATTAGCTTGTACATATTTTATTCCCACCTTTTTATACATAGATATATGTGTATAGTTTGTAACTAATAGAGTTTTGTTGTCTAAACTGGATGATTTAATTGTTTTGTTTTGAATAATATCATCAGCACAAACTTGAGGTGGAAGTTTTGAAGTATTCGAATTTCTTCACATATAACGGACAGGCAGTTCTGTCAACTTCAATTTTGATTATATCTCTTTTTGATGTTATTCTTGATCTTATATATATCCATGATTTTTCTGATTAGCTGATCGATTGGATCGATTCCGATATGTTTTTGTTGATTACTGATTGTTTTGAGTGCTAAGTTTTTTTTTAAAAATTCCCTAGTGTTCTTAATATTTCTTCTATCCAAGATCTTAACATTTCTTCAGTAGGATTCAAAGATGTTTCGTGGGGTTTTACCGTTAATTGATATCCATGAAGGCGAAAATGAAAGGGGCATCTACTTTGTCTGATGTAGTTTTTTGCAATTAGAACATTATACTTTCTAGATGATGTTCGCTCTTTCTTATTTTGTCATTTCGTCTTTTGGTCTGTATAGGATTGATTGAAGTGATTTTGTTGGTTTGTATGATACACCTATTCCAAACGGCTCCAATAATCTCGTTTTAATTTTTGATATGTCTTTTATATATGGTAGTATGATCTGTTTGTAGGTTTCTATCTTCGATTTAATTTCTACTGATGTGTTGGATTAGTATTTTTTTTTAATGAAACTGGGTAGATAGTGGGTTTTTTTAGAAGGATAGCCATTAGATACTGTCCTTCATTTTTCTACACTACAACAGTGCTGCGTTGTGTTATCTCCATCTTAAATAAAGTTTATACCCAGTTGATTTCGTGACTTCTTGGGTTGTTGCTACCGTAGTTTTGACAATTTGATTTGTATGGATTAGTTTCCGATATAGGACCAATGTGATAGTTTAAGTGGAGTAGGTTAATCGGTTAATCCTATTAAGAATTAAAGAACTATCAAAATAATCAGTACTATATGTCATTACTTGTAGTGGATGGTAGTGTAACTGAATACCTAATGCTAGATTCTAACGTTTATGTAGTATACTTACTTACGCCTGTTACTTTTCATGGAGGAGCATAGGCCGTCCACCAGCACTTTCCATCCAACCCTGTCATTGGCAATCCTTTCCAGTTGTTATTAATCCTTTTCATATCTCCACCTGTGGCTCTTCTCGAGTTACTGCCCGTCCCAAGCGTGGGTAAAGGAGGAGGGTTGGGTATGGGGTTAGCGACCTCATCCCGTAGAAAACTAACTAGCTATAAAACGCTAACCATAAAAAATAATTCAAACCATATGTAGTATAGGCTGATATTTATTCTCTATTGTCATTAAATGTTAATTTGAACTTTTAATTCTTGACTGTAATGTGTAAAATGTTAGAAAAATCCATTAATCACGTCTAGATAAATATACATCGTTAAATCAATATAATGAATAACCAAATTTGTAAGTAAAATGGGAAATTGATTCATTCATGTCACCATATTCAATAAGTCACAAATTAATGATTAACATAGAAACCTATCTAATTAATTCCAATGATGATAGACAGAAAATGATATCATAGCATTCGTTGAATTATATATATCGTAACTCAATGTTTAATAAGTAGTATCTATAAACTGAATGTTGCTTATTAATTTGATATATTCAAATTGATGGAAATTGTACATCGTCTCAGAAAGATGTAGCAAGTTAGTGGTTGTAAACATGACCATAGTTGATATCACAGTCACTGATAGTATTTTTGGTGTTGTTCTTAGAGTTTACGTATATAGTATAGTGTTTGTTTGAGAGAACTATAAGTTACTCTATCTAGAATGTATCATACAACATGTAGAACTAATTTCCTTTCATCCATTTTTGAGAAAATGTTCCAAAAAGTCTCAGAACAATTTATTTATTTATTTTAACTTATAAATATTGGTACAAGAAGGCACCAAATATGTATGCGCCACACAAAACAATGAGAATTTGAAGAGAAGAGCATAAAAAAAAGAACAATTACGAACAGATTAGTGTAAGGTAGTGTAATAATAATGGGGGAAACGGAAAGGTGCAACCAGAAAAAATTCTTTCAGTTAAGGAAGATACAACCACTTTTTATGAAGTAAAAGAAGGCTACAGCAGGATCGCCACTGGCTTCTATTCTGAGCCATATCTGATAACGTCTCTAGCCACTGTGTTGCACCATCTCTAGGACCCCAGCCAGAGAGTCGAGAAGGACCAACAGAAGCCAGTACTGTGTACCATTCTTTTATACCACGACACCATGTAATACACTGACCACCTCTCCGCTTTTTCCAACTAGTCCCCGCGTCGGCAAACAGTGCACGACGTGGAATTCTCTGGGACGACATTCGTAGAACATGTCCAAGCCATCGAAGTCAGTGTTTTAAGATGGTGACACCAATTGGATTATCGTCTCTGTGCCTGAACAAACGATGCCGAATCTCTGCATTACTAACATGATTTTGCCATTGGATGTCAGCAATCCTTCGGAGACAACGATGATCGAACACAGGGAGTCGTCTAACATCCTCAACTCGGAGAGGCCAGGTATCACAAGCATAGAGCGGAACTGCTCTCAACGATGCGTTGTAGAAGTACTTTGCACTTAAAAGGTGCAAAGCACATACCAGACCTACGGACACTAATTGCCAACTGATTAAATGCGGATTGCACGACTTAGGTATCATCGCACAGTAAGACAATATCATCCGCAAGGGGAAGAAAGACTCAAAACAGTACCATTGTAGTGAACAAGAACACCAATGGGGACAATTGAATGTATTTAGGCACATAATTACTGAGCATCTCAAAATCTGAGAACAATATATTAAATCATTAATTTGCAAAATATCAATCCATCATATCAAACTTGACTGTTCCTGTTGCAAACATCAATCCATTGTCTCAGATTTCATGGTTCATACTTTTTCATATCAATTTCATTTCGTTTCCGTTCTTTCCTCAACGACCTTCTACTGAAATACATTCTATGCCTGACCACCGTCATATACAACTTGTGTGGATATAAGTAACCCGCGCTACACAATCACCAAACATCTTGATACAGGACATCAGGTAGTTACCTTGCAATCCTTTAAGGTGATTAGTAAGTAGCCAAATTTCAGTCTTCTGAAGCTTTTGCCATCAGGCGTCAAAAGCCTGACTTCTGTGTTCAAAAAGAGATGGTTATTAATCTTTCCTTGCCTTGGTGACAAATATTCCTTTGGTGTATCTTAAAACTTCTTTTTCTTTATGTTTAAACTCTTTCTTGCATATAATACATCGTTGAGTTTTATTTCAACTATCTTCCAAATTGGTAATCTTATTTTATCAACTGAACTCTACTCATTTTATTCCTATCAACGTTTACTGATTATTTAATCACTGGTATTCTAGTCGTTTGAACTGTTGTCACAATCAATGTTGTAGAATGTTCTTTCACACAAGGAATATATTTACAATATTCAGTCTATTCATTTTATTTACACCTTTGCTATACTATACGAATATGTTTTCAATATAACTTCCAACCAATATATACATCATTATGTAATTATGATTTATAAATATCACAGGTTGTAAACAGCTGATGAGAACCAACGAAATAACAAGTTATGCATTCCCAAATGTGTACTTTTCCACAATGGTAACCGGTAATCTTTTTACTGCTAATGACAGTGATTCACTCAGCTTAATAACAGAAAAGTTAAGTAAACAAAAACATAAAAAATGTCATACTTATTAGTAAGCTGAGGATGCAGTTGTTAATATACTGAGGATTCATCAAGAAAGTCACAGAAATTAGATGGTGATTAATAATCATGAAAGCCTCTTGCACAATACGATATGGTAAAATGTCGAGATTAAAATGATTTTTCAGGAAGGATTTGCAAACAAGTAAATCGGTTAGGTGTTTAAAGGCTGACTGAACAAGAGAGAAGTAGATGACGACATTCAGAGACCATTTGCTAAGATCAGGATGGAAGAATAAGTTGAGTAACTTCCTCTTGTATGCATGTTTCTGGTTTCTCTAAATGTAAGGTGGAAGCTTGCGTAATAAAAGGAAACGGAAGCTTTCTCATAAGTTTTTACTCATCTAATGAGTGACTTGAACGATTTTTACTTTTACTTTACTTACGCCTGTTACTCCTCGTGAAGGAGCATAGGCCGCTCACCAGCATTCTCCATCCAACCCTGTCCTGCGCAATTCTTTCAAGCTCTTTCCAGTTCTTATTCATCTTTTTCATATCTGCTTCTATTTCCCGACGTAATGTGTTCTTTGGCCTTCCTCTTTTCCGCTTCCCTTCAGGATTCCAAGTTAGCGCTTGTCTCGTAATGCAGTTTGATGATTTCCTCAATGTATGTCCTATCCATTTCCATCGTCTTTTCCTAATTTCCTCTTCAGCTGGAAGCTGGTTGGTTCTCTTCCACAAAAGGCTGTTGCTGATGGTATCCGGCCAATGGATGTTGAGTATCAGGCGTAGACAGCTATTAATAAATACCTGTACCTTCTTGATGGTGGTTGTAGTAGTTCTCCAAGTTTCAGCTCCGTACAGTAGAACTGCCTTGACGTTCGTATTGAAGATTCTGACTTTGATATTGGTTGAAAGTTGTTTTGAGTTCCATATGTTCTTTAATTGAGGGAATGCTATCCTTGCTTTGCCAATCCTCGCCTTGACGTCTGCATCTGAACCTCCTTGTTTATCGACGATGCTTCCCAGGTATGTGAAGGATTCCACGTCTTCCAGAGTTTCGCCATCAAGAGTGATTGGATTGCTGTTCTCCGTGTTGTGTTTGAGGACCTTGGTTTTCCCTTTGTGTATGTTGAGGCCTACTGATGCAGAGACTGCTGCTATGCTGGCTGTCTTTATTTGCATTTGTTCGTGTGTATGTGATAGGAGGGCTAGGTCATCTGCGAAGTC